AGACAGGAGAAGAGGGGGGACTAGTGGGAAGGGGGCATGTGAGGGCACCGCATTTAGCAATTAAAATGTTGGTGGGAACATGAGGGGGCGGTGGGGATGCAGGGGCTGCTAGGCGATGGGTGCACAGCAGGCAGGGTTTGGAGGGGAACAGGAGGCGATATGAGAGCCCAGTTGCTCAGTGCACAGCTCCTTCTGTGCAGTAGCAGTTCCCTTCTCCAACTCACCGAGATTGAGACCTGACCTAGGCACCCAGGCTATGCTCACACTTGGAGGAGGGAGGTGACTTGCACAAAGAGCAGGGAGTTGAACAGATGGCTCCTGAATGCAAGGCTGGCATCTCTTTCCTGGGATACTGTAGGGTAACCTGAAGTAAAGGGGGGAAAGAGATGCATTGTTGCTAATCCCTGTAGAGGATGCTGCTGCTGAGCCAGTCTGAGATGGTGGTTTAAACTGGTTTGTGCCGGTAGTACTAGATGACGCTAGTACTAGATGACGTTATTCCCTGACCTGAAATCACCCCAATAAGGAGGTGTTCCTGCCTTTCCCTTTGCTGCCTCGCTGCATTAGTGACTGAAAACAAGAGCATATCTGCTGTACCATTGCACAAGGAAGCATTTCCCTGCCCCAGCAACCGATGTTGTGTATACTATGAAGTTATGTTCCTACAGGAAGCTCTGTACTGTGAGAGTAGTCATTTGCTAGAGCACAATTGGATGCAGGCAAACAATTTCAACTCATTTGATCCCATTTCCAGAGGCTAGAGGTTTTTCTAGTATTTCTTGTTCAGACCAGAGTGAAATGTGTTATGTTTTGGCACAGTGTTGTCAGCCTCAATCAATCAAAAACAGTCTGTTAACTTAAAAAATCATGACAGCTTAAAAAATACAACATAGGGTTCTTCTTAATTGCTTCCTAGTTTTTGAGCCTTTCAGAGTAACATTTTCAAGCTTTTCTACACATCCAGGAGGACTAGAAATTTAGTTTAATTTTAAATGAAATTCAGAGTCTCATATAATCATGTGACTTCCGGAGTTGAGGCTTTAGGAAAAGCACTAAATATCCCAAGGCCCATGATAAAATTACCAGAGTTAACCTGTCACAGATAGGGATGTTAAATACCATGTAACTGAATAATCATGTAACCTCAAAAACTATTATCATTTACACAGTTATTAGATAGTCCCCAAGGGCAGGGCTGGCAACCAGTGCGGGGGGCCAGAGTTGGAGGTGGAGGGGTGAGCCTGGCCTGCTGCTGACAGAAGCTGCTCTGCAGTAGTCTCCCTTGCCACCAGGGGAGGCAAGTTTGTATAATTTTTGGTGGTGCCCCATTAGCCACGTCCCCTGACTCCCGTTAGCCACGACTCTGGAGATAACACACTTAGAGCAAGATGGACACATGACCAGAAGTAAAAGATGTCATGTCACTTCTCTGGAAGGACTTTTCCCACCATCCTCCTACAAACGGGGATTAGTTTGGCCCCTACCAAGCCCCCCTCATGCAACTATCCTGCAATTGCATTAACCCAATGTGTGCGACATTAACTCAGGGGCAGAGAGGCTGGGGGAAGTGTTCCCTCTAAAGCTATGTCTACACTCATGGCTTCTTGTGCAAGTACAGCTATTCTTGCTCAAGAACCCACAGAGCATCCACACTGCCCGCCTGCTCTTTCGCAAGGAAATTTACAGTACGGCGTGGTAAGAGAGGGCGTCTTGCGCAAGAGCTACGCTCTTTTCTAACTCTCTTGCACAAGAGGGCAGTGTGGCTGCTCAGCAGGGATTTCTTGTGCAAGAAACCCCTATGGCTAAAATGGCCATCGGAGCTTTCTTGGGCAAGAGAGCATCCACAGCACTGCCATGGATTCTCTTGCGCAAAAGCACAGCTTGTACATGGCAGTGTGGACGTGTTCTTGCTCAAGACTTCCTGCACAAAAACCCTTGTGCAAGATGTCCTTGCGCAAGAAGCCGCCAGTGTAGACATAGCCTAAGAGTTTCCTCCCATGAGCAGAATGAATTTTGTGATGTGCACCAGTACTGAGTTCATGGGGCTTATTTGGATGTGCCACTGTGGCACCCAAGTTATTAATAAATATTTTATAAACCTTTACCTTTTCTCTCTGCTGCCATGTCTCCTCCCCTTGCTCCATCAGCTCCCCTGGAGCCTGCTGCCCCCCCCCCCCACTCCTCACCCTCCTCTGCTGTCCTGACTCCTGCCCTTCTCACTAGTGAAGAAGGAGCAAATCTAGACACTGATAAATGAAATGCATTGCAGGCAAGTTGAACAATCTGCAGTGAATAGAACAATTTGACTATTTATACACATAAATATGAGCTCATAAATATGAGCTCAAAATTAACTATTTAGGAAAAAGATGTAGTCATCATGGAAGTTCAATTAAAACATCTGCTCAACATACCACCGCAGTAAAAAAGACAAATAAAATACACTAGGTTTTATAAAAAGTGGCATTGTGAATATTTTAATACCTTTATTATGGAGGCACTAGTTATAGCACCATAGTTAAGGCTGAGTTGTGTTTTGCATATAAAACAGAGATTTAATCTCTTTGTTATATATGAAGAGTACACTGTGTTTCCACCAAATTACAGCACTTCCTCTCAATACTGAATTAATTTTCTAAGAATTTAGAAGTAAATCCATTAATAATGGAGTTGAAATTAATTTAAAGTGGATATTTAAAAAAAAATTAGCACTTCTCTATTAGACTTCTTGTCCACTGCTTTTCCACCGACTGCCACTCCCAGTCTTGAAAATGGAAAACCACCTCTTCCCCCTAGTTTTCCCCTTTATCTACCTTCTGCCTTCCACTTTGTGTTGCCGGAGTCCACGCTTGGGCCCCAGAAGTCCCCGAACCCCCTTCTCCTTCCACTCCTCCCCCTCCGCGCAAGCCCGCTGCCGCTGCTGCTGCCGCCTCTGCCCAAGCCTGTTCCCTAACTTCTGCCTTCTACATTGCGGGGCCAGAGGCCGCCGGAGCCAGCGTGGCCCCGCCACGTGCCTCCGAAGACTTTTAAAGTCCTGGGCCATGACGTCACGTCACGCCCGGGGGTCTCCCCATTCACCTATATGGGACGATCTGGGGCCAGGGCCGCGGCTAGGGCTGGGGTCAGGGTGGGAGGACGTGCAGAGGGGCCAGCAGGTGGGGGCCGGGGCCCACTCCAGGCAGGGCCAGTGGAGAGACCCAGCTCCAAATATTACTGGAGCAGGGCCCCCGGCTCTGAATATTGCTGGAGCATGGGCACCACAAGCCTGTATAACTTGTCGCCCATGCTTGCTACCCCTCCCGCTGCTGCTGCCTCATGGCTCTGCAGAGCCAGCACGGATGCACACAGAGTTGGCTTAAAAGCCAGCTCCCCATGGACACCAGCTTCTGCCTCTCCCACTCCTTGCTGTCTCTGATACAGAGGCAACAAAGGGGGGGCGGAGGAAATACGTGTAGTCAATAGGTTTAACTGATAAGCCCAGGCTTATCAGTTAATCATGTAGTCAACTAAATGTTGACATTCCTAGTCACTGGAACTTAGTCTACACTCAGGAGCGGCCCTAGACAAGCTGCCGGCAACTGGCGCCTTAGGCAAAACGCGCAATTGGCACCCCTGCCTCCAAACCCCTCAACGCCATTTAACTTTGGCGCCCTATGCAACCGCCTAGTTCGCCTCTATGGTTGGGCCGCCACTGTCTACACTGCAGGGTTTTTGCGCAAGAAGCCTTTTGCAGAAGAGATCTTCCACAAAAACTTCTTGTGCAAAAGCGTGTCCACACCTCCAAGCACATTGCAAAAGCGATGTGCTTTTGCACAAGAGAGCGTCCACAATGCAAGGACAATTTTGCACAATAAATCTCTGATCTGTGCTTTTTCCAATAGGGTTTTCTTGCACAAAACCCCCTCCGGAGTGTCCACACTTGCCTTTTTGCACAAGAGCTGTAGAGCAAAAAGGAGTTATTCCTTGTGGGGAGAGGAATAACTCTACCAGCAAAAGCCCTCTATTCTGTCGATTTTCTTGAGCAAAAACACACTTGAGGTGTGAACGCTCTGCCAGGTTTTGCGCAAAAGCCTTGTGCAAAAAATCTCCCATACTGGCCTCTGACTAACAGGTCATATCCACTGATGAAGTAAATGTTTCAGACCCTTCTTATAAAGACAAAGTGAATCCAAAATGGATTTTTAAAGATGACTTCAGTTGTTTAATGTCTGTGATTTTTCTTTCAGGGCATTCTGAACTTGGGAACAAGTGAGAACAAACTTTGCTATGATTTAATACAGGAAAGAGTAAGTGGATTTGGAATTGTGGATTTTGAGTAATAAAATGGTATTGCAACTAACAATTGCATGTTAATAATGGTGTGTGAATTATTGAGAACAGATTAAATAATTCCTTTAGTGAATTGGTAGTTTTATGACAAACTTTTTTAAACATCCATGCTTTATATTTGCTACTTATCATCAGATACACTTAACAAAGTCATATAACAAAGAAAAGTGTGGCTCTGGCTAAAGGCAAAATAATTTTCCTAGAAATTTTCCTAAGCAACTGTCAGTCGACGGTCAGGGCAGTGTGTGCGTGTGTGCTATACACCCGAGACTTCAACTGCTGAGACCGGGGTCCCTTGCAGCGGGCAACCTGGAGGAGGTTGACGGGCGCCCCAATTCTGCCAACCGACGGTCAGGGCAGTGAGTGGTGTGTGTGTGTGTGCTATACACCCGAGACTTCAACTGCTGAGACCGGGGTCCCTTGCAGCGGGCAACCTGGAGGAGGTTGACAGGCGCCCCAATAAGTTTACAGGGAGAGCTTATAACACCTGAGATTTTAGCTGCTAGGATACAGAAATCCCTTCACAGCGGACAGCCTGGGGAGGCTCAGAGGTGCCCCAATGGATCTGTCCCCTGGACACGATCCAAAATGCCCAAGCTCTCCCTATATCTCTCTCTTATGACCGGCTGAAGTTCTTTTAAAATTGTGCTTGGTTCTGTTACAGCAACTGAAGGAGTCAGGTTAAAGCTTAAACAGTTACTATTTTATTGTTACAGGGTAAACTTAGCTGTTAAATGCTACTGCTGTGTTACAGATAACACAGTCACTACAAAGGACAGGACAGAAAGTACACTAAGTCACTTATAGGTACCATGAAACCCTTTTGGTTCTCTGAGCTCTTATTAAATACATGCAAAATAGACACCTAACAGGTATAATTCTCACCCCTGCGTTCCAAACTTGGCGTGGCCAGCGTCTTTCTCTCAATCCCTCGGGAAGAAGTAGGGCGAGGTTGGGCGTCCCACAGACCTCGGGAGACAATCAATACCTGCCAGCAGGTGTAGATGATTGGAGCTCAAATGGGGTGGGCTACTAAACCCCTCTTTGTACCCCTTGGGTCATGTAGGCTTCTTCCTGGTCTCAAGTGGCCAATTAGGAAAAATGGCTTTGAACACCAAGTTTCCCACGAAGGGTGCAAAGCATAATTCACACCTGGGAAAATGCAGACAATGGGCACCTCTGGTATGTGATGGGCAAAGATTCCTCTCCTGGGACAGTGCAGGCGTGTCAATTACTAGTACTAGCCATCAGGACGGTGGGAGGCCCCGAGTCATCAGCTAGCCCATTTACTGTCTGGTTTCTGTTTATGGTAGAGTCAGGGACAGGCAGCAAACCTGTGTTCCCAGGGCATCAAAGGCTGACTGCCTTTCTCTTGCTCTCTGGGGGGGGGTCTTGGTTCCTGGGGGGGGGGGGAGGGGAACAAGATGGGGTTCATGTCTGGCTACAGCAACATAATTCAGATTTTAAAAATAATATTCAATCCAAAGTGTTTTTTATGTTTAAATAGAAATAATTTAAAGTACTCTTCTCATTTAATCCAAAAATATTTTTTGGAAGTTATTGTGAAAGTGTACTTAGTAATTTCTATCATGTGGTTTGATTCTTCCTTGGTGGAGCCAAAACTCTTACCTAGCATGGAAATCCTTCTTTTTGTTGGATTTATGTATTGATTTTAAACAAAACTATAAAGAAAAAAGTGAGTAATTTTGTGTATACCAGTCCACATGTCAGGCTGCACAGAGGCAATTTCTATTATATGAAAAATGACAATATAAAAATGGCACCTTTTTAAGTGAAAAAGAGACTTTTTTTAAGTTAATTAGCTCTGTTTAGCTAGCACAACTATGGAAGAATATACAAGATTTTATTTTGGGTCACTTATCAGTAAAATTAATCGCCAGTAGTAGGGCCATCTCCTCCCGTTTACACTTGTTTACCTCTACAAAAAGTCATTGAAATGCATGGATGCAGTTTGTTCTGCTGAATCTCTGTATATCTCAGGGTGAGTTGGCAGCCCTGATTATTTGGGAGATGAAATTTATTTTGTAGTGACATGAGATCTGTGTAAATTTGAGTTGGAAGTAGTTGATCCAGAAAAAATGGAACTGTACATTGTCGTTTAGTCACTTTTCAAACTAGATCTCTTTTTAAACTAAGAAATATAACCCAGCTGCTTTGGCTATTTCTTACTGTACCTGGTAAAATTATTGGCTTCTTCCCAGCTGAGAAGGTAATTTAAATAAAATTAACTTTTAATTTTTAAAAAATGCTGCAACTTCTGTAAATAATAAAAAAAAAAAAATGGGGGAATTTTGGTGTGTCCTCAAACAGTAATTATAAAATCTGAGATTAGTACCGATATATTTTCATTCGACATTGTGTTGGATTTAACCCGGACAGAATAGTCCATAAATAATGTTTTACTGAACTGAAGAAATTGTTGATGTGCATCTTGCAAATAAAGGGATGGAAGTTTGAACTGGGAATATGGACATAACTTTTGAATATTAAGATATCTCCCCGTTGTTACTCAATGGTATTATGAAGTTACATAGATTGATATGTGGTTCAGTGGAACACAAGCTCACAGGTGAAAACATGTAAAAGACATACAGTAGAAAAACATCTTTCTTTCTTTATTATTTTATTTATTTATTTTAACAGCTCACAAGACCTGACATGAACTATTTGGAACCTCACCTTTTGCAATATTCTGATACACAAGGCATTGAAAGGTATGTAGTTAGTAAAATATTGTCTCCTTTTCACATGACATGTATTCAGTACTAATCAAGTGTTACTTGACAATTTGGTATGGTTTCATTTAATGTACAGGGGGTTATACTCAGTTAAATATTAGCTGCTTGTTCTCAAGATGTTTTTCTGTTTCCTGTTGGTTTTCAAGAATTACTTTCCTGTGTTTTTTTTTCAGCTCCCCATGTTTTTAATCTACCTCCCCTTCCCAAAAGCATGATACCTTGCATCTATGCAGGGGAGCATGCAGTAGCGTTCCTTTTACAGCTAACTCTGGCAGTCTACAATTACGCCAGAACTCTGTGCTCTTCAGAAACAGGATCAGGATGAATCCTGATACTGTAAAAGCATTTCACCCTAAGAATATAATCTTGATTTATTTAAATTTTACTGATGGGGGGGGGGGACGATTACACCGATTCTTGGGTTCTTTTCAAAACAAGGGCCCAACAGTGGAGTGGGTGCAAAGATGCCTCTGCTTTTTCTAGTTATTTTTTTCATACAGATAGCCTAGTTCTCAGGTGACCCTCTGAGCCAAATACAATAATCTTCAAAAGGATAAGAACCAGGGGCACCTGCTGTGGCTCACTGCTTCAGCCCTGTAGTGAGGGAATGGGGCTTAGCACTTTCTGCCCTGTGGTGTGGGAGGTCTCAG